CCACAGACAGTATATTCAATGACCACACTCCATGGGTTACAACTTCCATAAGTAAATATTGACATATAATATCCACCACTAGAGCTTTTAAACATACTAGGAGTGCTTTTAAACTTAAACAACAGCTCCTCCAGCTGAGAGGACAAGAAGATGTGTCCGGTCAATAAGCTGCGAGCCCATCGAGGGACTCATGCAGCCGGCGATGGCACATCGACCGGCTCGGGAACAGAAGCCCGAGGGAGCCGAGCGCCTGTGCAGACACCAGGAGGAGTTCTTCCTCTTCCAGGAAGGTTGCTAGGAGACCTTAATAGGATCTAACTGGCACAGGGGTAAAAATCTGCACAATTACCAGTCGTGATGGAGGCTTTGTGCCGACTGAGCAGCGTGCTCTCCCCGCTGTCAGGACAGCATGGAGGGAGAGCTGATGGGCTTATCAGGTCCGCATCGAACGGCCACCGTGTTTATCGGCTTCCCTCCAGTCGGCCGGAGGCTCAGCGGGGCGATGACGGCCGGGAACAGCCGGGAACAGCCGGGAACAGCCGGTAACAGCCGGTAACAGCCGGTCTTCTTCGCTCCGTGAATGTGAGCAGGTTTGAGTGACGACTGGGGAGCTCTGGTCTCTGTTTTAATGATCTATGCTCTATTGTGATGGAAGACTGATGAGAGCCGGCTGTGCTTCACACAAATAGCTCCTCTTTTAAGTACTTCGCTGATTATCTGCATCTCCAGGGTGTCATGTGCAAAGATCTACAGCAGCAGCGAATAGACTCAAAGATCTTACTCTGGACAGTGAGGACAGTATGAAGCCTGGAGGAACAGACAAGTTCATATTCTCCTCTGGTAATTGGTACTTAATTAAATATTTATATATATATATATATATATATATATGTATAAGAAGTGCAGTTTGCTGCTCTCCGGACGAGTGAATCAACTCGTCAAAGCCAAAAGCAGCTGAACATCAGAGGAAAGTGTGTTTGAGTCATCAGACTCCTGCTGAACGAGGTCAAAGGTGAAAGTGTTGCACCCAGTAAATGATGCTCAGCTCATCCCCACGAGTCCTCCAATCAAACCAACGTTGACACTTTTACTGCTCATTGATTGGAAGTTGTTGTATTGAATCACTCGTATAATAGTCCTGCTCATTAGAGCGCCGTCTATAACGATGATAGAGATGTTCTATCTCTCTCAAGTGGACCATTAATTAAGGAGATATTTCTATTAATAAAGAAACTTTACTCTTCTACCCGTGAATTAGAATAAAACCTGCATCTCAATGAACCCATCACTGAAGACCAGCAGCGCGTTAATGGCTTCACTAAGAGGAGCTTTAAATAAGGGACCTGTGGGCTAATAAGAGCCAAACTAATGATTAGTTATCAGATATTCAGATTGAGACTTCATTTAGTCTCATTTTAACACTTAACACTTGTAGTTTTGTTACATTTGAATAGAATATATATGAATAAAATATGAATCTTTGACCACCGTTAAGGGGGAATGAGTATTATTGTGGTGCTAAGACCTTATAAGGTGGTGGTCATAATTCAAGTACAACAACTTCCTGTTAATCAGTAATCAGGAGGTTATTGGGGGAAACATATGTCAATGGCCCAGCAGTTGTAGAGCATCATCAAGCAGAACCAGGCAGTAATAAGTGCTTTATTATGACTAATAAAGAGCAAAATATGCATGTTAATAAGCAAGTAGTTAATGTGATAATATGTGCACCTTAATATAAAGTGTTTTTTTACTGAAACCAAAATTGTGCTTGAAGTCCTAAAAGTATCTGGTTCTAAACATGTTATTTATTACATTTGAACCACAGAGAGATCTTCTCTGATGTCATAATCCATAAAGGACAGGGTGCGCTGCAGAGGACGATGATACGACGCCGTGGGGCCAAGCGGAGGCAGCGTTCACTCAGAGGCCACAGAGATCACGAGTTAATGAGGTTCTATGAGACGGTGTGTGTCTCCAGCACACAGCAGGTTCATACTCTTCATACTCATCATCACAAAGCCTCCAGAACTGATTTCAGATTGTTCCACATCCAGAGCAATCACGCAATTTACATTTCACCCCCCGTGACATCATGATGACTCCCTTTCCTTTCAACTCACCCACTATCTCGATGGACTCTTTGTTGTAGAGCTTTTTGTTCCAGTAGAGCAGCCGCAGGAAGGGAAAGGAGGTGAGGAGGACGAGGCAGATCCCAAGAGACATGTAGCCCGTGAAGCTGGCAAAATCAATCCCCTGTGAGAGAAGAACAGCAGCGTGTTAGAGACTTCATCCAGACTCACTCATCAGTGCGTCAGGAAGAAAAACACAACTGTGATTATCTGAAATGACAAAGAGCATCAAGTTCAGACCGTTGATTGTCTGAGACAAAGAGAAGCTCATCCAGACCTGAGCTCTGATCTACATTCACAGAACTATGATGTGCTGCTTTCAGCAAAGAATGGATTCAGAAGCTTTATGTGAGACAATGAGAGGAAGAATGAAAGCAAGGAGTTTGATGGCTGCACACAGAAAGGGGGCGGTGATAATTACATCCTTAAGATGCTTTCTCATCAGCACCGAACAGTTTGGCACGAGCCTGGTCTCACTTCCTGTAATAGAAAGAAGCAGCGGCAGCGGCTGAGGGCGTCCTCAGAGAGACTCAAATGTGTCCTTGTATGACATCACCTTCATAGGATTTAGTACTCTTAAAGCCTCTGATTTAACGGCGTTAAGATGCTGTGAGTGATTCATGCTTCTACAGTATGAAGAATACAAAAGCAGATATTCAGGAAAGTGGTTGATAGTGACCTCTGCAGGGTTTACAAGCTGCAGCAACAGCCTCAGATTAAAGAGACAGAAGCAGCACAACAAGCTCACATGTTCTCTCTCACGTATAATAAACTCACAGCGATCAGCCTTCAGTCGATGAAGTTTCAATGTTTTGAATCTTTCACCAAAAGTAAAATCTCAGTTGTTGGAGCTGAGCAAGAGATCTTAATCACCTTATCAATATATATATATAGACATATGATTATACATATG